CAATAAAATATACATGTACAGGGTGTCCGGTATTATTGGCAATGCGCTATTGTAAAAGTATATCTGATTAAACTGAAGAGAAATATTTTAATGCTATCTGAGATAACATACAGATTAATATCTGAGATGATACATATATAAAGAAGCAATAAAGGGCATTAAATTTACAAAGTAACACAGAAACTGTGAATTTGAAATATTTAAAAAATTTATTTTAAAACATTAATAATATTACTAATATCACGTTATGATGTAATACATGTAATTAAAGTTTAATATTAAATCTAATAAAGTTATATGTGTACATCAAATTATGATAAAAAATTTATCTATCTCCTCTTTTTTAATCAATGTTAGTTACAAAAAATTTTTTTAAATTAAACTTTGATTAAAATAAAAGAGGAAGCAAATGAATTTGTTTTGTTAATGTCCAGTTTGTTTATCTCTTGTGCATACTTGTGCGTCAAATTAAAATTCTTAAATGTTGTTTAAAATAATATTATTACTATTGAAATAATTATCTGTTTAGTTACTATATAATCTCCATTAAAACAGTTAAATTCAACAAATAAAACTTTATTTTATTAAGTTCAACAAATAAAACTTTATTTTGATAATCAAGCTAAAAGACAAAAAAAAAACACACTTATTGCTTATACCTGCATATACAATATGCAGTATATGCAGTGTATATACAATGTGCGGGTGTTGAAATTATCGTTAATGTTTCATATTATCAGTAACATTTATAAAAACCGATAAGGGAAACAGCGAAAGAGTTACTGATAGTTACAGTAAAGTTGACTATTGAAAAGCGTGTTTTGAGAGACACCAGGTAAGACAAAAAAATCGAAATGGAAAAGAAAGGAGAAATAAAGGGAAAAGAAAAAGAAAAGCAAATAAGAATGCTGATCGATTTTATCTTTTCTTTTTAGTTTCAAGTGTCATCAGATTTTGAAAGAACGTGCTTCAACATGAATAAGGGTACGAGCGACATGAAGCGAAACCCAAGGGAGACTGCAAACATGTTCAGTGCTCTATTTTTCTGGTTTGTCACGAGTATTATACCTGAGAATATATTTGGCAAAAGAAAGCAATAAATGCAAAAACGAAGTGTTTTTGTTCTTTAAAATAAAATTTTGATTTCTTTAAAAAAGAATGGATTTTATAAGGAAATATTTTTTTTTTTT